TTATAGGCGAATGTGATGAAGGGGAAAAAAATAAGTAAGAACAGAGTGAAATACCTAAGTCACACAGTATCCCAGTGCCACACTGACATGTTGACTGGATATAATGTGCCGACATGTGTGTATATTATAATATATAAATGGAGCATGCACTGTCATTGTGTTATGTAACATGCCCCTGGAGGATGGATGGGCCCCCCTGGAAAATTTAGAAGCCCGGTTGGCAGTCACCCTGGGAACAGTTTTTGTAGGAAAATCGAAACCATGATGATTCCTTTCGGACAAGTGTAGGCCTATCGAAAATAGGCTTTCATCATGAATTTCTTGACCAAATCTCCTTGAATTTTAACAATTTCTCCTTGAAACCTCCTTGAATTTGATGGGAAGTTCATGGCAGGAACCGTGCCAGCAGTGTCCACGGAATAGGAGTGGTTTTTAGGTGAAAACAAAGATATGATATGTTCATGTGTGTGCCCCCCCCATCTATGTATAACATGGTATGCACAATCATTTGTACAATTTAATGCTATTGTGAGGTAAAACTTTGGATCCATAGAATGACATGGAAAAGGTTGGGCTAGATCAGGTTCAAGGGAAATGGCATTTTGATTAATATGACGTCTTTTACCTGCGATTGACTTTTTATTCTATTGAAATAAAAAAAGAGAGCTTGTTGATTAAGTTTGAAATCAATCTTGAATAGTCTGTTAGTTTGTGTAAAATTTGTTTCCAATTGGGCTCAATGTATTTGAAATACAGCTGTCTGTTGCATGTCTAGAGGTGTAATTGTTGGTGTCTTGCAGGTGCCTGTGGTTCCTGTTAGAGCCACTCACCCACAAACATGAAGACTACAACTATGCATTCCTAAGGCGCATGATTGAGAACATCAAACAGACCAAAGATGCTCAGTGCCCGGATGATGAATCTGCCAATAAGGTATTGACTCGTGATACTTTCTCTACACAGACTGCTTTAGTGTGTGGGTGGTTGGCGGGTGCTCTGGTGGGGTTTGCTTCTTCTTTCCTAGCAAACATCTATCGTCCTTATCTCCCCTTCTTCCTTTTTATATTTGTTATTCTCTTGTAACACCTCTAATCTTTTGACGGTGATATTACCTTATGCAGTTGCGAGCGCCGTAAAACCTCTACTAAAACTTTTTTAAAAACGACTGCTCCTGTGTGAGACTGTCGTGTGTCACTTTTTAAAATGGCATGTTGGAGAGTCTTACACTAATCGGTTGACTTGTAGTTTTTGGTCTTAGCTTTGACAAACCCGAACTGGTTCTTGCCTCGATTACTTCTTTTGAAGAAGCGTACTGTTCACGCAGTACATATTATACTAAAATTGGAACGATACAGAGAAGCTCAGCGTGGCGCTTGCGCAAGGATGGCATGCAAATTTGGGAAGCGTTCCATATTTTTTCTGGATCGATAACAACTTCTTTTGAAGTTGATTTCCTGGTTTCTAGTGTGGTGAACGGATACTCCTGGAGTGAACTGTTTTTTTGTTTTGCTGATTTCTAGTGTAACGTAAGATTTTCTACGTATCTCTTCACTTTGTTGACATGTTTTTGACTCCCTCCAGAAAATGTATGCTGTTTGTGATATCACCCTGGGTCTGATGCATGCCAAGGCTGGGTCCATTACCTTGAAGGAGATTACACAAGAGCCCGTGCTGCCCAGCAAGATGTTCACAAGCCCTGATAAAGTGAGCTGAACTTCTAAACTCTTGAACAAGACCACTTTGTTCGGGGGGGGGGTTCTTTATGTGAAGTAACTGTTCAGAGGTGTATGGTATATATAGAATATCCAGGTTTCATTCATGTATTCTTGAGAATACTCCCTAAACATGACATGCCTAGTTCCAGACAGTGTGTGTGGGTGGGGGGTCGGGGGGTCCCCTTTGTTGATTCGTACTGTTTTGAGTTGCATTGACTCGCCAACTGTTTAACGTCCACGGCACATGCTGTACTAACATTTGGCCCTCGAGTGTACTTTGGGAATTATCCAGCAAACAAAGGTGGCCATGTGGCACAAGCATATATTTGAGTGAGGTGATGTATTTTACACAGCATACGCTGTGGAAGTCTTTTGTATACTGTGGGTGGTTGGTTGGTGCTCTGGTGTGGTTTGCTTCTTCTTTCCTATGAAACGTCTATTGTCGTTATCTCCCCTTCTTCTTTTTTATGTATGTTACTCTCTTGTGACACCTCTAATCTTCTGGCGCATATAAGACCTTATGCAGTTGCGAGCGCCGAAAAAACTCTACCAAAACTAAACTAAAACTTTGTATACTGTAGCACTAGGGTAGTTCAACTGTACATTGGCGAAGAACTGGTTGTCCAGAAAATAAGGGACTTTCCGTGTCTTTGAAAAAAAGTATTTGTGCACTTTTCCTGTTTGCTTAATTTTCCCTTGGTGCTATGGTGTAGTTTGCTCCCCTCTTTCCTATCAAACATCTATCGTCATTATCTCCCCTCCTTAGTTTTTGTTTTTTTACTCTTTTGTAACACCTCTAATCTTCATCACTCATATGACCTTATTGTGTTGCATGTGCCACAAAACACGTACTAGACCAAAGAGAGTTAACGAGATATTTTTAATCCTCAGAATTATTCCAATTTGCAAAGTTACCTACCAAAAGACTTTCCATTTGAAGCAAAGGTAAGGCAACATATTGAAATTACAATGAGTTTTATCTACTTTAATCTGCTTAATCTGTTGTTTTGAAATGCTGTGACAAATTTTAAAAACTTGATTTTGTCAGCATTGTCCTAGAAATGATTGAATTTACTTCATTTAATTTATTGTCTTCTATGTTTTGAATTGCTCCATGTTTGTTTTTGTAGTTTTTCTTTTCCATATGTTTGAAAGTATAGTGTGTGAGAAACAGAAATTTTTTTGTATATCAGAGAATTAGTTCTTGCTGTTTTTAAAGTTCTGTGAGGTGGGTACGGTATTGCCTGTCGATATTTGAGGGTTTTTTATTCGGAATAAACAACATAGTTTGGGGGCACATCTTACTGCATCTAAAATGGAAGCCAAAGGAGTTCATGCACATGTAAAGATGAAAAGGGACATCTGATGTGCTTTGTAAGTAATTTAATTTTTGAATAGGTTCTGTTCACATCCATGAAGCTTTTTTTCAAAGCTCTTTTGTGTTTAGTCCAAAATAATTAGTTTTTGTATTTTTGGTCAGAGGGACAGAAAAACAACTGTTTGGTTTAGAAAATGGTACACTTTGATAGATTTCCCTCTGTTGTTTCTGTCAATGTCTTACTTTTTCCATTCACTATATTGTGCTGTCTTTTTCCTCAAATAAATTTACTAAACAAAAGCAAGCATTGGGGGCTGGCTAAAGTGTGCTGTAGGAAAGGTCTTGTGCCATCTGTTTCATGCTATGGAGCACTGGATAGGCTTCGTCTGTATGAACTTTGCTGACTCGAAAGAAAGTGGTGATATACCTGTCTGAATTATTGTTTTTCTTTTCTTTCCTGTCTGGTCTCCAGAGACGGGCGGCCGGCCTGGGCAATTATGCTGGAGGTGATTACAAGAAAGGTTCTAGCAGCAATGCAATGGCCACACCCACCACCACAGAGATAGTTGTCCTGAGCCATGCGCCTGTAGTGAACCCCCTGCCCCGCACACCCGCCAGCCTCAGGCAGGCTCCGGTCCGCAAAAAGAAGACTGAGTAAGTTCTCATATGTTTGGTCAGGGAAAGCTGCAAGGGGGGGGGGGGTTGTGTTGATGAGTTTTTTTTGTCAAATTGCATCTCCACGCCTTCATGAGTTTTTATATTCCTTGTGGTGCTGTTTTTTGTTTTGTTTTTGTAGGGTTGTTTGCGATGCATTCTTTACAGGCTTTTTTAAAGCATTTTTGTCTCTTACATTCTAATAAAGCTGTGGATGCTCTGGTATGGTCTACACCACATCACATTTTGATTGTATTTTGTCTTAGGTGAAGTATGGTCAGTCAATGAGCAAGGGACAATAAAGATTATAGCTTTCAGAATGAAATGTTACAAAACCGTAAGAATATGTATCACGGCGCAGTGGAATCAGACGTTCCATCAATTTTTTGGCATATGGAGTTATTGGTATAATCTTAAATCTTGTTCTTTGGTTTTGCTTGTGGTGAAAAAAAAATACCCACCTATCTTGAAAAGAAGTGGATATATTTGTGTTTGAGGAGGTGGGGGTAGCCTGGTTTCTGAGGTAAAATTAGTGAGAAAATGGTCACCAAAGATGACTCATTTCCTTAGTTTGAGAGTCCGTAGAAACTGAAAAATCTACATTTTTGTGCGTTTAATCATGGTTTTTCTGTAAAATCCGCACAGAAATGTGTTCTTTAATGGGCATGAAAGGTTTTGAGCTATAAAAAAACAAAAATTCAATAAAAATTCACAAACCTCCAGAAAAATGCCAGTTTCTTCACTCTGATTATTATAACGAGGGCTTGATTTCACCACGCTGCCTCACATATCGCTGAGATAGAAAACAAAGAATAAAGAAGTACTGGGGGATACTAATAGAAAATATGAACAGAGCATGGAAGCCTGGCTTGGAACTGAAATGACTCAGGCTGGCTGAATGGGAAGAGACTGAGTATTAAATTGCAGATTATATTGCAGAAAGGCCTGAGAAGCAACATCACTTTCATGGAAAGACTGCCAAGAAGATATTGCCAAAATATGGCCATTGTTGTGCTGTCTTGTCATAAATAATTCGACTACTGACGTGGGTATAACTTCTGTAAGGCTGGAGTCTTTTCTTCTAGCTGTGTGTGAAAAAAATGGGGAAAACAGTTGGACTCATCTTGTCCTGTTTTTGGGTAATTATATGGTGGGGGTGGTCACCAATCGTCAGTTTATCAAGTATTTATTATCTTGTCTGGGTATCATATCAGTCAAAATAGAGTGAAGGGGTCAGGCATATAACAGACATGAATTTTTATATCATTGTTCTTGTTTTCATTACATGTTGCTTTTTTTCGTCCCCCCCCCCTTATTTCCTGAAGAGCGGAGAAAAAGTCAATAGGAGAGGACTTTGACTCAGATTCCCAGTCCCCTCGACAATCAGACACAGAGGACAGTTCAAAACCAGCCAAGCAAGGGCGGGGTAAGAAGAGCCAGCCTGCAGCGAAGGTCGCCTCGGCAGCGGGAACCCGACCAGCCAGAGCGAGGAGGGTGAAGAAAGAAGTGGAGTATGAGGAGGATGACGACGAGGATGATGAAGAAGAAATGCTGGAGAGTCCCCCGCCCAAACCTGTGGTGATGAAGCCTGGGACAAAGCAGACAAAAATGGACGACTTTGGCAGCGGAAAAGGGAAAGCCAATGCAAAGGCCGCAAAAGCAGCAGTTAACGGTGCCTCAGCCAAGGCTAATGCCAAGGGGAAGTCTTCACAACCCGCCCCCGAGGCAAAAGCCGTGGTGAAAAGAGCTGCCTCTCCAGCCACACCACACAAAGCCTTGGTGACTCCACCACGAACAAAGAAAAGGGCAGCAGAAAGTGATGACTCCGCCTCTTCGGATAAAAAAGGGGATAGTTACCCAAGTCCAGCAGTTGTACGCAGATTGAAACCGCCCACGTTGAGAGAGGATTTGTGAGTATTTGAATACAAATTTTTAACATTCCAAAAGTTATCGTTTTATTGTTGCTATAAATGCTGACCCAGTAATGTTGGATAAACGGTAGAGTTTTTATTGCTTAAACTTTTTTTCTCTCAGGGGGTGTACAATTTCATGTACAGTGTAGCCAGCCTAGGCTCTATTTTGGAACAAATGTCACTTCAGTGCAATATACGGAAGATTCGAAAACTTTGCCTGTTATATTGGTGAAATCTTGATGGGGTTAGTCGGTTAGACAAACTATGATGCTTAGTTAATTGCAACATAAAAGTAATTTTGTTGTTGTACTTTAAAACCATTTAAGGTGTATAATTTGATTTAGTATTCTTTTTTGGTGTACTGAAATTAATCTTTGGACAATTAATAGAGTTTATTGAATAGCAAATTTGATCTTTATTGAATAGCAAATTTGATCTCTTTTTTTAGGGGCTGAATGAAAAAGCAGACTTGTGAAGATGGTCACGGATGCTTAGTTAATTGCAACATAAAAGTATTTTTGTTGTTGTACTTTAAAACCATTTGAGGTGTATAATTTGATTTAGTATTCTTTTTTGGTGTACTGAAATTGATCTTTGGACAATTAATAGAGTTTATTGTATAGCAAATTTGATCTCTTTTTTTAGGGGCTGAATGAAAAAGCAGACTTGTGAAGATGGTCATGGTATTGTGTTTATCTCGTATACTACTCATGTCATGCTTTCTGTATCCAATGCCAGATCTGCTGCTTTTCAGTTGCTTTCCCTCCCCCATGCCATTTTTGCCAATAAAACTTTCCAAGTGCTTTTTCCTTCCTAATGAATTAATCAACAAAATGGCAACAGAACTGCTGCAGATGTGTGCTTTGGTGAGAATAATTGCATCCGTTCCTCATACTTTCCTCGTAGTTCTCAAAGACACAGCCAACCCTATCCCCGCAGGTCCACACGCCCCAGTCAAGATGCCGCCAGTGCTCACAAGAGATCTCCTCCGTCGTCCCCGTCTTCTGCAGCTGCTTCCCCGAGCCAGGCAAAACGGTGAGTGGCCCAACAATCTGGGCATTGTCTTCGGGCGACTTCTTGGAAGAATGTTTATGTAGGTCCGTAACTGCCAACCAGTACGTAAAAAAACAGGTTTTTGTATGTCTTTGGGGGTCTGAGTACCTAAATATGATTTTGTTTTTACTTGATGGGATGTCAAAGAGAACTTAAAGATGAATTTAGGTTAGGTGAGAGTCAATATACAGTTGAATTTTTTAACTAAAATATTTATCACAAGATTGTTGCTGATCTGTTTTTTGGATAATTTGATTTAAATTGAGGGCAGAAAAGCGTATGTGAAGAATCTGACAGTGCTGCCCATCATTATGAAATTGGCGGAATCTTACGATTTTTGTTCAATTTTAAGAAAATATTATAATACCCCTGATTCTCATTTTTGAAAAAAATGTCCGCTACCCCAACCCACTGCCAACCTTCCCAGTGTATAAAGGGAGACAAAAACTACTAGACCTGGACAGTCGAAGTCACTAAGCCACATACAGTTGTCTAACTTAATCATTATTGACATCCTCTTTGACTCTTTGCTTTAAGACATTGTAGCCTCTCAGTGCCGCTTTGTCCTTGTGAAAAAAATTAGACTAGTAGTACCAAAGCCAGGTGTAAGGCAAACATTAGGCTGACGTGGTGTTAGAAAATTTCTGCTCTTTTTTGTGGTATGGGTGACAGCCTAAGCCTGTGAGAGAAACAGTTTTAAAAACCCGGATCATTGCTTGAAACTAGAAACGGTTGACTACAGTGGGTGTGTGCTATGATGTGTTGTGTTGCATAATCAGAACCAAAGGCTTGGGATGTATTCTGTAGTTTCAAAAGTTGCTTTGTTTTTTTTTAAAGCAGTAACTCCCCCACCCCATCTTCCTTTAAAAAACTCTAAGATGAGATGTGCCTGCTGAGACCTCTTTCATCTCGCCTTTCTTGGCTAATGCAACACTGGATTGATTTTTTATTTGAAAAGTAAAAGTCTTGTCTTGGTAGGAAGTGTAAAACAATTCCTGGGCTATGCTCCTCAGTTGTACAGGCACAAGCTGTGCTTCCCATTTGACTTGACGCAATACATGTACAGGTTTGCTGGTAGTCTGACAGTCTCTTGTTTAGGGATGTAAATCTTCCGGGTTTTTCTGGACGACTTTCCATTTGGGCCCCAGCTTTTAACCAGTCTACTATAAACAATACATATTATATATACAAAATAAAGATTATTTGTTGTAATAGAGGGAAAGGAACAAATATAATTTAGTCTCACTGTATTCTTATTTCAGTCAGTGCGCGCGCGTGGTATATTTTCCAGCTTTTTTTCTCTCTAAACCTGTTAACATCCCTGCTTGTGTGTGTGCCCTCCCCCAGGCCACGGATCGCGCGAGGTGTGATGTCCTCCAGTGAATCTGGCTCAGAGAGGTCGCGGTCTCCCCCTGCTCAACCAGCGCCCACCAAGAGAGGACCAGTGGCCAGACCAGAACCCCTCAAGTCCAATGTGCGCAATGTGTAAGTTCCTCCTTTTCTTTGCCATCTGATGTGTATTTGTTTTTTTGTACACTTAGCCCTATCCGTACGTCATGTTTTACTATTGTATCCATACGACGTGAGGAGCCCTATGCCACCACTCTCCAAAGAGGAAATTTACTCGTTAATCCGAGCTGTACGCTTTGCATAGCAGTCTGTCAAAAGATTTTTTGAGAAATACTGAAAGTTTCAAAGAGAACATGGCTCTAGAAGTATTCTAAAATGTGACGGCAGACGGATAGGGTTAAAGGTAGGCTGAAAGGCTAGAACTCAGCTGGCTGCTGGATCGGAAAAGTACACTGTGAGGTGGATTGTTTCTTTTGTGGCAACACTGTTTTTGGCTTTCTTGTTATTCAAACACCTGGCCAATGAGATGCATGCTTGTTTCACAGTGAGCATAAGGGTTCGTAGTTCACGGCCAAACTCTGACCAGTAAAGAATTTGGTCTTTTCTTGTGTGTACCTACATCACACAATCAAATAAAGATTTTGTTGGATCAGATTGGAAGGTCGGTCATTTTGACTTTTGACAATGGTTGCTGCTTTTTCTAAAAGTGTCTTTTTTTTCTGCCGGTTGCTTTTCTGTTAGCTCTGCTCCTTTAGATTCTATGAGTTGACTCCTCTATGGGCATGTTTGATTTTCAGGAGGAAAAATGAACAAAACATGACTTTTAAGAAAGAAAAAAAAATCCGTATGAGTCACTTTCCTTCTGAGACAAGTGTGGGTCATGGGTATCGTCTCTGTCGCAAGAAAAATGAGAAAATCTGATTGGCCCTGAGTTACTTGTGAATTTTCCTTGCGGTATCAACGATATGTATTCTTTTTTCTGTACTGTTCTTTTTAGGTATCATTTTGTATAGTTCTCTTTTCTCAGTGTGGAGGAGAAACTGAGAGACAGATGTTACCAGTAACTAGCATTGTAAAGAGAGTAAAGTAAAAGAAATAATAGCAAGTGATTTGTAATGATCACAAATGCCAAAGTACGCTGAAGATAGCAGCACCCTTTCCTTTCCCTAAAGTGTTTTGCTTATCTGCCAAAACATACGGTTAGTCAGTTAAACCATCTGATGGCTTAGCTTTAGACTTTTGATCTTCAGGCACTGTTCTTTTTTTTTTTTTTTTAAAGAAGAATGTTCCTCAAATAGGGCAGCTGTGGTCTGTTGGGGCCAGTGTCAATGTCAGGATTTGACTGCCTTTGTGTCTTAGCTTTTCTGGCTGCCTGTGCTTTACAGTACAGATTGTTCTCAAGAATAGCTTTATCACTTTAATGCCTCTGATTGGTCAAGCCAGTGGGTTTACCTCTCATCTTCATCAATACAGCACCCTTTCAGAGGTCTTTGTCACTCGAGTGGTTTTTTTTATCTGTATAGGGCCTTGTGCCCATCTTGTTCATGTCCTGTGGGTGGTTGGCGGGTGCTCTGGTGTGGTTTGCTCTTTCTTTCCTCTCAAACATTTATCGTCCTTATGTTTCCTTTTCTTTGTATGTTACTCTGTAGTAGTAAGTGGGTGGTTGGGGGGTGCTCTGGTGTGGTTTGCTTCTTCTTTCCTATCAAACATCTATCGTTCTTAGCTCCCCTCCTTCTTTGTTATGTTTGTTACTCTCTTGTAACACCTCTAATCTTCTGGCACTCATATGACCGTATGCAGTTGCGAGCGCCGTAAATCCTCTACTAAAACAAAAAATCTAGTAGTAACGCCTCGAATATTCGTCAGTTTTATGACCTAATCATGTTGCAAAGGCTGTAAAACTTGTACTAAAGTTGTCTAGAGCTAATATTACTGTACGTTGGCAATGTTTTGTGGACTTTCCTTGGACTGAATGTGTAATAATTGTTCTTCTTCTGCCCCGTCAGGCGCCGGGGACGGCTTGCAAATGGTACATCAGATGGGGAGGACAGCCTGGAGACGGAAACCTCCCAGTCATCAGCAGCCTCTACCAAAGTCCTGGCACGGTCACAGACAGAAGATGAGGAGGACAATGTGAGTGCTTTTTTAAAATGCAATTCTTTGAATATCTTGATAGTGACTCCAAATATTCTTACCATTTTGATAGAGCAGATAGAACATTTGCTCTCTGACCTCATGGTCTTAGTAACTCGAAACGGTAAAAATGTTGGGATATAACTTTGTCATTGTGAGGTAGCGATTTGCCTACCCATACATAATAATGCTAACAATGTACATTAGCCAGTTGGAGAGACCATTACTTTACATTTATGGCATTATTGTTGCAGGTTAGCTGTGAATAGCTTTAATTTATTGATTGTAGAGAAGTGTGTGTGAAAGGTTTAGTTTTAAAGGGGGGCTACTTGTCCAATGTCCACCATCCTGACCCACAGACTACGTGGAGCCTGGTGGGTTTTTTTGGGGTTTTTAAAAAAAGTTGGCAGCTATGCATGTGTGTTTCATCTTCCAGAAAACTAGTGAGTGGTTGATAGATGCTCTGTACTTGTGAGCGATTTTTTTTCTTTCTGTTTTGGTGCTGTTGCCCTGCTGTTCCTGGCAAGATGATGACTAGCTGTAAACTACTGTTAAGCTCAAGTCTTAATGATTCGTTTCTAGGGAAGTATGTTTATGACTACTTGTGCACTATAGAAAAATCATCTAGGATACCGTGTATCCATTTTTCTTGTAGTTTGTTCGTGTCCGTTGAAACACAACCTCGGGTAAAACGAACAAGTTCCCTCTGATAAAATTTTCCCAACTTTGAGTATTCTGGACCTCAGAAGAATTCAATCATACTGACGCGAGCACGTTCCCAGTGTGACCGTATGGAGATATTGAAATGAATGTGTATGGAGATTTTATTAGTTTTTTCTTTATCGAATGGGGGGATACGCTCCTGTTTTCTGCTCTTATTTCCTTCAATGTGCTTAGAATACTGTAGGGTAATATGTTTCAATTCCATCCCAATACTCCTCCAATTCATGAAACAAACTTTCTGCCCGTTGAGATACTGTTACTTTTGCGGAAAACCTGAAATACGTTGGATATATTGAACGCCCGACAGAAGTTTTGAAGTTTGGACACTTGAATGAAAAAAAGTGCCTGTGAAAAAATACTCTTTTACAATAGTGTGCTGTGTGTAGGACACTGTCAGATTGTGTGTCATGACACGATCATAGTCACAGTGCAGCACAGTACTAGTACTGGTATCCATGTAACTCCCAGAACTACTGACAGTAGCACATGGGACCGTTGCTTCCCTCAGTGCTGGTATTTATTACAAGACCAGCTCGCTAATTCGCGATTTTCTTTTCTGCAACCAAAATAATTTTTTTCCTTCCGAAAACTCTTTTACTTTTACGGTTGTTAAAACCCCCTCACTGAAATTGAATAAAGACCCTTCAGCCTACGAGACAAAGGACAAGTTCTAGATATCTCATTTTCTGCTAAGCCTTTGAGCAGTAAATACTTGTATAGTTTTCTTTTGTGGAACTGTCAGGTTTATAGCCTTCACGTTTTCCATTCTGACGAGATGTAAATCTAGGTAATAGACAGGTTTTTTTCGTGGATAACTTATTGAGAGAAAAAATCACAGGATTTTCTTTTTAAAAGATCAGGTTAAAATTTTACTGCCTGAAATACAGAAATTTCAAAAGTCCATTAAATGTAATTAAATGTTTAAAAATAAAGTTGTCAGCTACCTAGATTTAAACTTAAATGAATGTTCTGTAGAATTTTTATCTTTGTAAGTTTAATAGTTTATCCGCTGAACTTTGTATGTTTTGTGTTTATTAAGATGGATGTTGTTACCATAGCAACAGGGATATTTATACAATGTGAATTGACTTTTAAAAGCTATTTCAAGATGTTAATGTCATATATTTATTTTGTTGCAGATTACAAGAAAAGTGCGACAGAGGAGGAAGTGATCTTTTACCATTTATTGTCAATTCGTCTGTTGTGTATTGCGGTTTAAAAAAGAATGTTTGCCAACCCTCATTCTCTCTCTTTGTTTCTACGGTTACATGTCTTTTTAAATTTTTTTTTTAAAGTCAAATTTGTATACCAGTATATTTGGAGGAATTTGTTTATTTTTTTGCAACATTGATGATGCTTGATAACAATGTCATGAAAATGAATTGAAGAAGTTCTGTCTTGTCTTCTTTCTACAACAAGAGGAATACTTTTGTAATTACCCCGAATTGTTTCTCTTAGCTAAAGGGATGGCTGCAGCATTGAAGTAGATAGATAGAACCAACATAAATACCACCTTCGCTCGAGTAACCAGTAGTGTATGTTGTCCCACTCATTCCACTGTTGTGCAAGTCTTGAGGTGGGGGGTCCACTGAAAATAGTTGCAAGCTACTTGAACCTGTTGTTTATTTTTTTAATTTGAGCTTAAATAATTCCAAGGTACGAAGTTTTCAAAATTATGATGACAAAAAAGACAAATTAATCCGGCATCAAACTTTTAATGAAGTTATCCCCCCCCCCCCCGATTTCCTAAGGAATAACTCTGACGAATGTGCATTGAGTGTGATGATTATGTGACCTCTGAAAACTTTACGATGTAAGCCATAACTGACATGATTAACCCGAGACAGTACTGTTTGATGTGAGGAGTGAGTTCATCGATTCACAAACATCTTTCTTTCTCGAAACAGTGGAACCCAGCTCAGGATGTTCACTGAACTGGTTGTTCCTTTGCTTGTTTGAGGGAGGGGTAAGAGTATATCATGTATGTGTGTGTGTGTAAGGAAGATGAACTCTGATTGTTTGTAGTCTGTTCTGTGAAAATTGTGCGAATGTTATTGTACATAATATGGATGATTTTTGTAATGGATATGGTGAAAGTTTGTCATCATTGTTTGATAGTTTCATCTTTTACATTTCATATGCCACCTTATAAGTAGCTCGCTTTCATTTCACCCACACCCGTTCATCGAGCCATTTTGTTGTGGTGATCATTTTGAATAAACCTATATATTACAACAGGTTTGGTTTACTGGTGTTTGTTTTTTTTGTGTGTGTGTGTTTCAATTTGCAATTCATGCATGACATTTGTGGGTTCTGTTGAATTTCAAGTGAAGCTAGGTTACTTGTTCAGCCTGCCGTGCACACTGTGAGGTGTTGGGTGAGGTAGAAATATTGGCTCTTGGCAAACTGGAATGCCTCCTGGAGCCGAGAATAGAGAACTTCTTCCTTTATTTACTTAGTCAATCCCTCTTTTCATGGGTCTTCCTCTCACTCTGTAGCCAGACATTCTTGTGATGAGGCTTTTTAGTTTAGTTTTAGTAAGAGTTTTACAGCACTTGCAACACTATAAGGTCGTATAAAATAAGTGCCGAAGATTAGAGGTGTTACAAGAGAGCAACAAACACAAAAAAGAAGGATGATGAGGCTTTTACTTTTAGGGCAGCTTGGTTGTTAGAAGTTGGATGGCCGAACCATTTGATTCTTTGCTTTCCCAGTGTGCTGTTGGACTGGAATGATACCCCACTGGCTCAGTTATGGACCCTATCTCTTCTAGTTGAATGAAGCACACTTGACAAAATAACTCATAATTTAGTGCTTGAAAATTAATTGGTGGCAGAGAAATGATAGGAGGTTTTGAATAAAAATAGATCCATCATATTCATAGTGTTGGAGGCATCTGGCTAGTGGCAGTCTGTGGATATGCTGACGTCGGTAATAAATGACTGTGATAAGGGGAATTTCTGCATTGGCTCCTGTGTGAGCCGTAGTTTGTCAAATCCGAGCTACACCAGGACCAGTGAGCCATGTGTGTCATGAGAATAGAATGCCACTTCTAGCAAAGAGACTTGGCAGCTCAGAACCAAATTTTCCCATGAAAAGAGGGAGAAGCATCATTTTGAGGGCCGGCACCCCAATGATAGTTGTTCCATGGGAGTGGGAATAGCTCCTCCCCTTTCCCAGATTCCTGTCCATTTCATCCTTTAGCCATTCTCTTCTTTCAAAAAACTATGTCTGTATACCAAGAAAATGTCCTGTATATTTAGAAGCCGAAGGACTTTTCAGTGAAAAGGCTGCCTGAAGTCTTGGTTTTGAGAGTCCTGTCCCTTTTCCTCATCCCTTAGCCATGCTCTTCCTGTAGGGAGGATGGTGTGGTGTGTTGTATGCATGTTTTTTTAAAAAATGTCTTGAGGTTGGGCTTGGGTCTGTGCCACTTGGAAGGCCGAACCACTTTTGTTTCACGGTAGTTTTCAGGATTAATCCGATCGATTATAAATAGATAAAAATAAATGCTGCCTGATACTGATACGAAAAAAGTTCCCTAAGAGTTTCTTCTCTCAGTAAGAAATTACAGCACTGTACAAAGTAGGTGTTGAATCCTAATACATGTAATAGTTCACATTAGGTTAGTAAGCTAAATGAATCTTGGAATTGGAAACCCAAATACATGCACTTGTTTTGACTTACAAAGAATTAATTTAATTTCATTCTAAATACCTCCAGAGATGTAGTTGAGAAGCATTGCGGTCTAAGAGACCGTTTAAGTCAAAGTTTTTCAACATCCAGCTGTGGAAAGTTGAAGTACTGGTGCATCCAAGTAACTGGTGCCCAACCACTTAATTAACAAGATTTTTATAGTTCTTCTCAATAATAATATAAAGTAATGATAATTATCTACTTTGGCCCACCAAAATTCTGTGAACTGTTCCCTTATTATGGTCGATTTTGTTGTTGTCAGATCCAACACCAAGACTTCAGACAGTCTTTTCACTGAAAAATCCTTCGGCTTTCTGACAATACTGAGGTGTTTAATTACACAAGACCTTTTCTTGATACAGACTTTTTTTTGCAAGCTCCATTTTCTTTCCTGTTGCAGGCGTACATTTTACTTCTCTAAATGCGGCTTCACGGAATTAGTCTTCTTGGTATAAGGTGGCTTACAAAAGAGAACACCGAGACTGCAGGTCTGAGTTTGTAGGGGTACATAATGAAGCACAAGTGCAACTGATCTCTGGAGCATTCTAGAAAGCCAAGCTTGCGACATATGTGTACAAGGTCGATACTTGGCTGACTGAGCTTTTAAAATAAATCTGGTACAAAACGCTTAAGGAATATTCTTGTGTTGAGGCTGTAAAAAATAGGTAAGAAAAGCTTATGTTCTGAAATGAATTAATTATACATGTATTTAGATTTGAAAGGAAAAAAAATTAACATTTACAATATAATTGTACTTAAAAATTTGTTGTGGAATACTTGATACCTGTACAACCCAGACAATTTGAGTTTAATAATAAAGGAACAGGAAAATTGAGAGGGAGATGTAAATTCAAGCAAATTACCAGGGGGATATCTACCAAACTGTATTATAAACATCTTTCCCCTTTTATGTTCCTTATTTCAAAACCATCTAAACAAAAAACGTTTGCTTGACCGTTGGGGAGATAGTTTAGTTTTAGTAAGACTTTTACGGCACTTGCCACACAAGAAGGTCATTTAAGTGCCGAAGAATAGATATGTTACAATAGAGTAACATTCAGATAAAAAGGAGGAGAGATTGTTGTTGTTTTCAAACCCCTTTAGCTGTGAGCATGTCGCTCTTGGCAGCGCAATGCCTCCCTCAAGTAACCACATGTCCAAGGAGGAGAGATAAAGACGATAGATATGTTTGATGAGAAAGAAAGAGCAAATCACACCAGAGCACCTGCCAAGCACCCACGTTGGGGTGATAGTTTCGGTGATACCCTAGATTGATGGACCTACAATAACTGTAGTACTACTACTTGTACAACCGATTTTAGTTTTGGTGAAAGTTTTACTGCACTTGCAACACAATAAAGTCATATAAGTGCCGAAGATTAGAGGTGTTACAAGGGAGTAATAACACAAAAAAGGAGGGGATATAAAGACGATAGATGTTTGACAGGAAAGAAGCAGCAAACCACACCAGAGCACCCGCCAACCACCCACGTTTAGTACAAACCAATAACCCATGGATTCGATCTCTTAAGGAAAAGAAAGGGCTGGCATTTCAGTAACTTACTAATGAGTAAGAGAGGAGAGCACTATGCTTCCAGTTCCAGTTCTCACTCCACTAGCAGCAATCTTAGAGTTTGAACTGAAGGAAAAGAGATCCACTGATGAATCAAATTCGTCATATCTGAATTTTGGATCCAGTTTTTTTTAATACATACCGTACTACTGTATAAACTGAAGCTTTTGGCATGGGAAATTTCAACAAAAAGCAGCAAAAAAAAAAAAAAAAAAAAGGCACTATTGACAAAACTAACCAGAAACTGCACCTTCAAACAACATCATCAGCGCTGCCGGGTCCAGGCCGCCAAATTACTTATGACAGTGCGTGCGCCCAGATAAAACTCATTACAAAAGACCCCCCTATATGCCACACGCGGACGAAGGAAGTATACAGGGCATTTTCCTTAAAACGAGAGGCTCTTATTATGTCCCGCAGTGACCAGTCATTACTGGCAAAAATCAGGACCGGTCATTTCTCTGGGCTTCGGGCCTACAAAAATAGAATAGACAAAACATCGGACCCAATATGTCCATTGTGCAGCGAGGAGCCCCAAGATTTGGAGCACTGGCTGCAGAGATGCCCCGCCATGGAGGCCCGGCGGTGGCATTTCTTCAGGGAGGTTGGACTGCCTCACTCGCTACCCAAGGGAGGCGGTGTCCCTGGCGAAGAGCACACTCTTCGGGGCTCCGAACATTTCGAACGGATAGGCTACCACACACACACACATCATCATCATCAAACAGAACAAAAAGTAACCAGAACAATAGTCGTGTTGCTTGAAATTCTTTTTATTTCAATTTGCTTCTAAACCTCGGAAATGCGTAGAATAGTTAAAGTAACAACTACGCAGGTATGTTTCACAAGTAAAATGCACCAGTTGGTTAGATCAGTAAAGTTGTATAGTACTGCACTTATAGGATTTTCCCAAATACACTTCACATCAGGCTGGTAATTATATAGGTCGTTAAGATGCAGGAGGTGTGCTATTCCATTCCCATTCTCACAAAACAAAACATAGATGAACTCTCAACTGTATACAGTTTGTTCTCAAGGTCCCATAGCTGGGGAGTCATTTGCTCATGCATTCTCACATAGGAAGACCCTGATGTAATAATGCACATGAAAACTACGATGACGAAAGAGAGGATGCTCTGACGGTAACAGCAATGAATTTGTACCATGACAATAAAAAACAATCCCTCGATACAGGGAACAAACAAGCACTGAAATTCAAGTAACAATACACTGAAACTGAAACTGAATAACACACATGCCAGGGTATGCAAGTAAAAACCTGGGGAAAGCTAATAATGTATGTGCACATTTTAAGATATCTGAAAACTGTTGTAAGACAAAAACAGTACTTGAACTTGTCAAAAAGGACAACTTCTAGGAACAAACACTGCCCCAACATTAAGACTTGAGATGTTCATAAATCCAAACTTGATCATACACTGTTTAGAAGAGCACACGAACCTGAGGATAATCCTGTAGATTCATCACTCAAAACTGCAAGTCGTTTGTAAAATTAATGCTAGTTCTCCACAACGCCCACCCTGCCCCAGTACAAAAGTAGTACCTGTATTGAAAGTTAACAAAACAGAAAAACATAAGGTTAAGTGAACTAAAATAAAGCTGACACCCCTAGTTCATCCGAGAGATGAGGAGGGCCACTTCAATATCGGTACCAGTACAGTAGACAAACAAACAAACAAAAAAAAGAAAAAAATACTGCAAGGGACAAAACACAGCCTTGAAATTAGGAGATTATATTAACTTTGAGTACATGATTCCATGTGATAACTGGCTATGATGATTACAATGAGCTATGAGTACGATGATACAAAAAAAAAAAACAGCAGAAAAGTATACACCCAACAGTTTTCCTCTGTAAATATTTTAGTTGTCTCAACCCATTTCATTTGATACAAGTGAAATGGAGATGGGATACACAAGATTTAATTTACAACATGAAGGCTTGCAATGTGGAAGAAGATCCAAAGGATTTCTTGGTGTTGTAGTCTGCTTGCTCTCCTTTTTGTACATGAAACTTGAAAAAAAGTTTGAGGAATCTTTACATCTATCTATTGCACAAAAGTTTGAGAAATAATACTTGGTGTCTTCATATATGAGCCATTATGGCCTCAATACACTCACCATTTCAATCACATTCACATTTTATATTCTACAGTCACTGCCATGAACATCTTCAAGAGATAAAGACAATCCTAGCCTGCATAGACAATAAAAAGCCAAATAGAAGCTGTACGTTCCAACCCCACATCATTTGCCTTTTTCACACTGGAATGTACACAATTCAAGATTTCGAGATCACTCCATCCCCATGATTATTTACAGTTTGCTAGAGTCGTGAGATGAGAAGATGGTATTTCAAAAGAAAATTTTTAGATGGAAGCAACCTTACTAGATGTGAACACTCGGTCAATATGTGCAAATGATCAGAAAAGGATTTTTCAATATGTGATAATCCATATGCCCAAACTCTGTTATTATAAATTTACTTTTTCCTTTACTAGCTTAGCCCATGACGTAAAATGTAAAACTTTAGAAGCTCTTGGTATGGAAAATACTCCACTTTAAATAGCCCTGAAACCCGAAGTTGACACCCAGTACCGATCTGGGAACTTAAACAAAGTACAAAACACGATGGAATTTATTCAGCGCACTTTTCACAGAAATGATTTTGACTAAGCATTATGTTTTATTTATCGACTGATGTCTTTCAGATGATTACCAACATTTTGTTCTAGAGAGTGAATAGGCCAAACCAGGGCTTTAAAAAAAATTTGAACCAATCCTTGTACATAATGCCTTGGCACACATCTCAGATTATATCGATTGCCGAACAAAATAAAGACCTCTTTCCAAAAATGTTTTTCAAGAATTTGGGCTTTGATTTTTTTTTTAAATGAAGAAAAAAAAAAAGCACTAAGAAGTTATGGACCCACTCCCTGTACATCTCAAAATAAAGCACCACCGATACTGTAGGAACAGCAGACACCAAGATTATTTCAAAAGAACTTTAGACTACATTAATCATGCATGCCCTTACAGCATGTTTTGATCAGTAAGGTGAACAAGAAAACAAGAACAATGATAGCAGTCAAAACAATGTTGTTAGTTACGATAAAAAAATAATAATAGCAAATGTAATGACAACAAAGAATTGTTTGCTATGAGCGAAGAGCCCCATGGTCCAATGATAATGAGAAAAAATGGATTAAATGGAGGGTGGGGAGAATGCAAGCCAATTACAAAATAAGACAATGAAATGTTTGAGAAATAAACATCTCACATATTAAATTCCAGATTTCCATGTTAACACTAGCCATCCCAACAGTAGATGTTTCCATGCATGAAAACAACCTGCACCACTTTCTTCCGATAAACTCCATCACTTTCATTGCATTCAGATTCTAATTGGCTTGTAAATGTGACAGGGACAATGTATAAAAAGGAAGTAATCACAGATTTCTTTTTACTTATATTTTTAAAAAAATTACTACAATGCATGATATTTTAAACACAGTAAGTTAATACAGATGCTCGTACTTTTTATTTACAAAGATCAGTCTTTGCTTTAAAATTTCTGATGCAAAGTTTGAGAAATGCCCTCTGGTCCTTGTTTGCTGCCATTCAATACTTTGTACAACCATTTTTAAGGAGGACATCCAAACTGTATTTACAAAATTATGCCAAGTTTAGTACAAGGCTCTTAAAAAGGTTTACCCACCAACATCTTTTTGCCTCCGTTTTCCAAATCATACCACACAAAAACTTGACCAAATCAGTACTGAAATTTTCCCCACAAATATTAACCATTACAACCCCATTAATATTTACTACATTCCACAACCCTCCATTAACAAAGAACCCAGTATCCCCTTTAGATTTAAAAAATAACCAATTATTAAGGAGAGAGAGAGAAAACGTGCATTCAAGAACAAAAACTTCGAAACACAAAAATACAAACAGATTACAAGTGAATTTTTTTTAGATGGATATCATAAGTGTAATTTTTTATTTATTTTTTTGTTTAAGTTTTTCAAAGCAGCATTTCTGCTGATTAAAAATTTTTAATTGTTTTTTTAAAAGTTTTTCACGTCAACATTTTAAACTTTTTTAGAATTTTATTTTCAAAACTGTGGACACGTGACCTTTTCCCATCTTGTGAATATTGATACGCATATCAAAACCAATTCAAAAGGGAACTGAAACAGCAACCAACTCTTTACTACCTGCAGTAACTAATAGTGAGAGATCATTCAAATCTTCAGTGTAATTTTTGTTTCACTGCTCTTCTATCTTTTAAAACTAAAAACTGTTAACGTCTTCACTCTATAAGCCTTTCGGCTTGCGAAAGTTGTGTTAAAAGCATCATACATAAATTCAATAGATCTTATTTTAGAATCAAATGTATGAAACTTTAACCGAGTCATGTCCACTTACCGCACACAAAAAATCTTACTGAACAGTCACTCACAGTCACTCTGACAACTCCATCAGAAATAGTTGGGAGCATAATGTACTTTTCACACAAATCCAACCACAAAAAAAATCAGATCTCTCTGAGAAAGTTTTACAGACCCATACGCACATACACAACATTTTGGAGCCGCAGTCGGTGAGAAAGTCGTAGAACTTTCTGACCTGCTATGGTGTGGCGTGGTAAGTGGACATGGCCGTGAGTCAGTTAACCAACAAAGTTTGTCCAAGACCGGCGGGCAGGGTGTTCTCCTCGGTGTCTTGGTGCATCTCCAAGCTGCATGAAGTCCTCAGGGCACACCGCTCTGCTCCTCCAACGACCCCCGCAGAGGAGGCCGGAGAGGGCAGGACGAAGCAGTCCTCGTTGTACAGACGCTTGATGCCTTCATAGATGTTCTCATCCTCCACGCTGGTCGCGTTGTGCTCCACCTTGCGCTTCTTGGACTGAGGCGCTGAGGAGGAGGAGTGGCGGTTCTGACCTGTGTAGCCCATCATAGGCTGCTGACCAAGGAACAGGCCGATCGACTCACGGCACTGCATCAGCTGCTCACTACCCACCTGAAGGAAACATAAAAATCAATCTTTTAGTTTTTAGAAAGAATGGTATTCATTAATCAGACACAAAGCATTTTTCTCGTGATACAAACTGTTCCAAATGAATATCTTAGAAAGGACTTCAATCACTTGTAATAAATTTCAAAGAACAATAATTTCACTTCATATTATTTAAGAAAGATCAAGATAGGGACCAACAAAATCACAACAGTCATGCACCCCAAAGGCCTCTGTTACATTATATAAGTATCCCAGTACCTCCCCTGCATGACTTTTTATTTTAAAAAAAAAAAGTTAACAACTCCTTCCTCTTTTAAAACAAAAACACTTACAATCAAATTTTAACTGTGAAACTTCTAAACAAAATGGCTTCATTTCTAACATTCTTGCTGAAACACACACACACACACACTGAGAGTAGATTCATCCAGACAGTGTCACCGATAAATTTGAAAAGAATGTTTAACCACGTCTGCAACAAGACTCACATTAGTCATGCGTTGCAGTGCAAGCACCAGACGCAGCCAGCCAGGAGTGAGAACTTCCAGTTCCAGACTGATGAGAGCCAAGGCGATGGTGGACGGCCGAAACTGCAGCAAGGTGTGAGTGCACAGGCAGCGCAGCATCTTGCGCATCAGGGTGGACAGTTGCTCTGAGGGGCTCATGCCACTTTGGCTCGAAAGCAAGTGGGGGTAGTGCATGACAAGCACTACATGGATCTGTACGGGGACAAAAAGGAAAAAAATGCATGAATTTTTACGTGATTCCGACACTGGGAAATATTTGAGTGGATGTAAGAAAGAAGAAAGCAACCACCACTGTCTTTGCTTGTAGTACAATGTAAGTTGATCCCCCAGGCTGACAACTTTATATATCTTGCAAAACCATCTATTTTATATAATTGCCACCTGACGATTAGACCTTTTGAAACCATTACTGTCAAACATGATGAAAAGTGATTTTTAAAAATAACAATAAAACAAACAAAAAAGACTCAGAAAAGTCTATTCAGATGAAATCAGCCGTTATAAATATAAGTACGGTATCTCATCTGTGCAGATAAGATGCAGGCAGACAGAGTCAACATTTTTTTCTTTGCTCATTGGACAAGACTCACATACTTTTACACTTTCAGAAAGCCAAAAAAGTGTAATGGTACTGATACATGCATTTATGCTATAAAAGTGCTGTCAAAAAACTTCAAATTGTCCAGGCCTATGCCCCATACTGTAAGGTTTGTATGTATGTATGTAGTATTGGGTTTTACGGCGCTCGCAACTGCTAAGGTCATATGAGCGCGCTCTGTAAGGTTTAAGAATAGAGACGGTTGGTAGGGTACGAAACAAGGAAAGGGTAGAAAAAGCACAAAACAGAAGTCTTACAACCATGGCAACACTTTAGTCTACTTACCGTGTGAAGAAAGTCCACAGCAGATGGCTGCCGCACATCCCAGTTCAGTTTGTTTAGGATCACCATCTCCATGCGAGTGATCTCAGCAAATGAACATCCGCAGTGGCTTCTCCTCACAAGATCCGGAGTTGGGGGAATATTCTGTTTGAAAAAAACCCAACCAAAATGTACATTACATCACAGAAAGGAAACTGAAGTTCCAAAAAGCTTTAAATAACATGTACAGGTTCATATCAACAGAGAGAAATCTTGTCCATAGCAAAACTATCATACAAACACTTTACCCAAATAGGGCCTTTATTTACAGCAGTGGAGTAACAAATATGTAAGAAAAATGGGAATTATACACATAGCATTTCTACAACAATGGAATTTTACGTTTCAATCCTCAAATAATATTTTCCAAAAGCAGTTCAATGTTTTCTTACAGCTGAAAAGCTCAACACTTAATTCAGCCCTTCATTTTCGACATTACGACTTACGCTCTACTTCTCAAAGTAAAAGGTCAAATTTTAAAAAATAATTGATTTTACAAACCTCGTCTTCTTCAAGTGTTTTGGCTGCTATGTAGAGACAGGTCACTGCAACACACTGCATATACTTAGCTTGAACCTGGGGGAAAAAAAATAATTTAAAAAAATATTAATTGATCTCACAATGTCGGTTTGTCTTTGGTGCTTCTTTAATACTGTAATTCAAACACCTCCATAGATTGTACTCTCATATCCTCCATACATCTTTTTTCATTTTTTACATTTATTTTTAAACGGAATTCTATAGCAGGACTGTCACTTCTGATGTAAAAAAAAGTACAAACATGATACGAAAAAGATACACCGAAAGAATTTCCTTAGCAGAAAAGAAAACAAGAACTTCCTTTACAAAGAAAATTTCAAGACTCCAGACATTAATTCTATCATAAACAACATCTTTGAGTATTTAAGACAAAAATAATAATTCTTGCTATAAAAACACTATGCTCTTCTTACCTTGAAAAGTTGCTGGACTCTGTCCATCAAGCGAATGGCAAGGCCGCAAGTTTCTGGAAGGAACTTGAACTCTGCTGCCAAGCTCCTAATCCATGCAGCAAATTTATCGCGCTGCAGCCCACTCATTTCCTGGAGGGAAGAAAAAATTACCGAATGAACAGAAAGCTACACCACGAGAAGAAAGAAAAACAAAAAGAATCCGAAACTGACCCCCCCCCCACCCCAAACCCACAGAACAAAGCTCAGAACAAATATCTATCTTGAATGCTCAACCAATATAATTATAATAATTTCGACAAAATGGTCAGATAAGAACACAATTTAGAAAACAGTCTTCATCTTCTTTATTTTTCAAACCTACACTTACACTAATTGTAAAGATCATTTTAAAATGTCTGTTTCACATACACAAGCCTCTCTCATGTAACAAAGCATTACTATGTCGACTGAACCCTTACATTAGACTAACTAATAATTTGCATTCAAAATCTTTTAACTGATTTTCTGAGTGTGCATATTAAAAAAAGGTATTGAAATATATTTGATTTTAATAATCTTTTGTAAAAGCTTCATGCCAAAATTAGCATAATTCATACCACGGAGGTTACCCTACCCATCACGCCCAACTTTAAACGAGAGGATTACATGCCGGAGGAACCTGGAAATACTCAATAAAATTTCCCTCTATGTAGAAACTGAACAATTGCCTTTCACACTCCATTACACTACAGATGCCAATCATAAATTTCGCAAGCACAGCACAATTTCCCCTGAAACAAAACCACAAAAACAAAACCAAAATTTTGAAAATAAATAAGCACCCAAAAAAAAAAAAAAATTAAAAAATTAAACAAGACAAAAATCAGGATCAACCTATGAAGGCCAAAAAACCCTTATCACACCTTTCATCCTTGACCTCAAAATTTTCCCCAGTCCGTGTCTCCGATTATCACTCCTGTATGTGCCAACAGTCAGCAATACAATGATGTTACGAGTAAACAAGTGTGACCTTTGTTATCTAGCCATATCTTATCAATCAGCTGTGACTGTGACCAACAACAAGAAACTTACCACAAAAGATTAAAACTTCAATTAAAGTACAAAACGTAGACACAGCAAAGCATTCAACATCAGAAATGATGCACCGCAACACGTTTGCTCACTCAAGTTTAACGACTCCAAAAAATCCCAGAATGGGTTCAATAAAACATAGAGTAAGAACATGGCAAGAACGATATAGTGAATAAAACATTCCCATGACAGAACTGACTTACTTTTTCAGAGGATTGCTTGAAGACAATTGGCTTCCATAGCTTGAGCTCCTTTTCAAGGTTTGAGCTAAGGGTGTGCATGACCCGCCTAGCATCCAAACCACTGAGACGATCCATCCCTCAACACCCCACTGATGCACCAAGATACCTATGGACAAACAAAATTATAACTTAAAACATACAAAATTATTGTACCATTTAACATTACATTTTACTTTCAACAAAAAAGCAGGATACACGTCCCGCGGCTGAGCAAAATAAAATCTGGCAGCTAAAAGGGGCCGTCTCAGAGAGCAAATCATTGGGGTGGTGGCAGGGGTCTACATCACATGAAACACTTGACAAAAGTCAGCCTGAGCAATCCTTACTTCTCTCTATTTAAACTAGTTTGAAACTTTGGCCGAACTAACTACTCAAGCTCACAACAGAGCATTGGGAGCCGACTCCTATTATAATGTGCAGTAGGCTAGTGTAAATCGGTACATTGAAGCATCATCAAATATCCCTAAAACTAATAATATTAATTTGCGGTGGATATGAAGTCGGAAATAGGTATACAGGTAAAATGGAAAAAAAAAAGAACAAGAGACAAGGGACTATAGACATGTGTACAATTGAGCACGAGACAGGAGTGAAAGTAAAATAAATGACTACACCTAATACCCTGTGCCCACAGGCACAATCGGTTCCGTTCAGTTTGCTAGCCAGATCGAAGGTGCAAAGTTCATGGCTCACACCGATTGTCCAGAAGGACTTCCGTATCGTGCGACCACCCCAACAAACACAATAAAGAAGAGACCTAACCCTAACCCAAACCCTTCCCCTACCCCTCTCTTCTACTCAGTCTCATAGTGGTCGCTCATTACGGAAGCTTTCCTATCGCCCGACTTGTCGACACAAAAACAACCGCGTTTGTTTTCTGGCGATGAGTTGGGCGATCTGTAGCAAAAGAAAGAACTGATCCCCTAATGGGCACTCCGTATAAAAGTAACACCAGTAACAGACCCAGACTAAAAGTAAGACTTTTTAAGGGAGGATTTCCGTAACGAGCGACCACTATGAAACAAAGTAGAAAAGAGGGCTAGGGGGCTCTCTTCGGGAAAAGTGGCCAAGGCTTAACCCCATAGAAATTTATACATTATGTACAGAATCGGAAACAAAAACTGAAGTCGCTTTTAAAAAAAAGGGGGAGGGGGGTCCTCCCCACTGCTTAATTCACAAAAATAATGGTTTGTGACAGTTATTAGTGCCAAAACAGTTCTCAGCACACAACCCCCTGATAAAACAGTGCCAAGAAATAGTCTAAAATGGGTTTGGTCCTTATTATATTGACCGGTGGCCTTTTCACCTTGGCAACTCAGTCAGTTTTTTTACTCGACTTTCGTTTTTGTTTTCGATTTTGCGTATCAATCTCTATGGCCGAGTTGGGTCTGGACCACTTTTCCCAAAGAATGCTGGGTAGGGTTTGTTTGTTTTTTGTTTTTGTAAAGTGTTTTACGGCGCTCGCAACTGCATAGGTCATATGAGCGCGCAGGACACCCCTAATATTTTCAGTTGGTAGGAAATTTTGAATTCTGCCCGGGTGGCGGCCGAAGCCTACT